GGGGCGGGGCGGGCGGAAGCGACGCGAGGAAAGTGAGCCGGCGGAGGCTGAGGTCAGGCGATCTCGGTCACACACAACCGAATTGGTGGAGAGGCGCGCGCGCGGCGGCCGGCGTGGCTCCTCTGAAACGGACGCAAAAGGTTTATTCTCTTGTCCACACTGCAGCAGCGGAGAAAGACATCCAAGGTGTTGACAGGCTATTTTCTCGACAATACTCTAAGGAGAAAGAAGATCGAAGATGTCTGATCGGCCTCACAACAGGAAAAAAAGAGGGAAATGTAAGTTATTTATTCCCTTATCAATAATGCAACGGGAAAGAATACTGAAGATACATTTTTATTTCACCGTTATTGAGAGACTAAAGAAAAGGGAGGAAATTTTAATGTATAGGTAAAATTATAGGAAAAGAAGGTTAAATTGGTTATGATTTAACTATGTTATGAAGTGTGATCGAACGAGATTAAAAGAAAACTGGATTTAATGGCCAAGAATTGAAAACCGCGTTTGTAGAAATCTCATACCATTGGAAATATTTAAGGAAGAAAAATTGTACACCTAGATTTTTAATTACTATTACTCTTCTTCTATACTAATTACTCCGCTACTTTTTTCTTATTATCCTCTTTTTTCACAAATGTTTTTGGAGTATCTTACTTGTGAATCTGAAGAATGAATCGAGACGGAAAGAAGAGGACTTTCAACAAGAAATACCTCAGAACTTTCTACTTGCACACATCCCCAAAACAGAGTAGTCTAGAAGGAATTAGTTTATTACGTATTAATATAGCAAGAAAGTTAAATAATAAAGCAATAAGAGTACTCATTACGTAAAGATATTAATTGCGGAAATATTACGGACAGAAATGTGAAGAGCTTACTTTAGTGATTAATAGAAAACGCCATAAACATTCACACAAGTAAAGAATAAAAGTAAAAAAGAAAGCCAAAATAATTACATGTCTTCATGACATGACTTTATCGTGTGAATCAAGGTACACCAAATGGAGAACGTAATGAAAGAAGGGTGCTTTGACCCGAAGACAATGCTGAAACACTTTCTCTACCACCTATATGATGTATGAAGAATAACCAATTATTCCAACGAGTTCGTTACTGTAATGTCAAAAAAACGACAGTATTTCGTAAGTACTATAATGGCTCTGACAGTAGCTGCATGCAGTTAGTGAAAACTGCTTTACAGAGAGATTATTTTCTTAGTGTGGATGAAGAAGTACTGAGCCCCAAAGCTGTCCAGTACTGCTTACCCTGTCGGGGCGGTAGAGCTGTGAATGTGGCATGATGAATGTGGAACCTACGTCCCTCTCGGCCATTGTATGCGCCTCCTGCAACGAGAATAGGCGATTAAGCACTCGAACGGGATTCGAACTTTTCAGGAAAGCTCTCCCTTTTAATTATGTTTTCAAGAAAAGTTGATCCATCAATGGTAAAATATGGTAAGTATCGAGAAGAAAGTTACTTTTTTTACGAGAAAATCGGAAACGCATATTTTCAGCTGACTACTGCTTCTCAATTGCAGCTATTCTCCACATGTGTGAATATCATTTTATTTACAACAATAATAGCATAATTGAAATTTTGACTGCCTCGGTATCAGTGATAATAAAGTATGTATGGCAGATACTATTTTTTATTTGCCATAACCGTCCTTCAAAACATACTGCGAGAGAGCAGGTGTAAAGTATACGTCATGGCACCTATAATATGTCAATTTCAAATGTTCACTTTTATGAATATTAAGATTTGGGCATGTCAAATTTGGGAAAGGCGTTTGTCGAAATGAACCCAACGCTCAACATCCATTAGCAAAACGGTCATGTAGACGCGATGAACCAATTAGCAAACTTTCCCCGAAGGGAAAGTAGAATAATTATAGAAAAATAAGAGACGTCAACTGGCTCTCGACGAAAATGAAGAGAACTAAAATGACATCGCTTTTGACTCGTCTTTTATCAATCGTCTTCAGTGTAGATGATAATTTTTATTTTCAATGTGTCTCCGAGGAATGAATTTTCAAAATCAAGATGATAGGCGAGTTTATCGTAATGAGTAACCTACAATCGTAGCTGCTGTAAAGAAATATTTATACATTCTTGGCAGTGTAAAAATAATAGAAATATGTAATTAAGGAGCGAATAGCATACCATTGAGTAGCCACTTAAATTCACGTTAATTTTATTTTAGAAATGCGATGTTTTCACAGAGTGCCGGGACTAGTTTCTTGAAAATTTCTAACTGCAACAAATATTACTCCGCCTTTCCAGCACAACCATAATAACACTTCGACCAAAGTTAAATTCTAAATTTCACAGGATGTCTTTGACAACTACCAAGTTCAAACCGAGAGGAAAGTTGGTAAATGAGACAAAAGCCCATTGGAAGAGACATACGGCAAGATTTCATTTTGTGGCGTTGCTTGTGAAGAGAAATCGTTTACGCGCGTCAGGTAAGTGGTATTGCCTCGCGCCTCCAGCAGAAGGAAGCATTATCGAGGCGACGCGGCAGTAATTATGCAGGCGCGTCCCGCTGGCTGGCATTCGAGAACCGGCCCGGGCGGCCCCGACGACGCCACGCTGTTGCAGCCGCGACGCTGCGGAGGGGAAGGGGGATGGGGAGCGAGAGCGGAGGACAGTTCGCGGAGAGGCGAGGAGAACAGAGGAAACACGAAGGTGACGCGCGCACTTGCCGTGTGGCCAACAGTGAGACTGCAAGCCAAATCCAAAAATCACGTAATATCAAAAACCTTACAGAAGTATACAGCATCTTAAATTTTATTTCAAGTAAAAAATTCGCGGGTGTACCTGTGCGTTTGTCAAAGTTTACCATATATTCATCTCTATTGAAGGACAAATAGAAAACTTGTATACAACATACGACTTAAACTCAGCGGTTTTCACAGAATAAAAGCTTGAATGTTAAAACTTGGAATTGCTTTTATTCTTCTATTTAATTAAAAATAAACTGGTACATCTTACCGAATTTTCTACTTAATATTATATTTAAAACGCGGAATAGCTTGGTCTAACGCTGCTCATTTACAATTCCCGATTCCCTTTTTCGTCTTAACACGATTTATTATGGCGTAACGGCTTCACCTAGATATATAAAGACACAACGAGGAAGGAGAGGGTCGCAGAGATTGAGGGAAAGGCGGGGGGCTAGCGAAGCAGGGATAGATGGGCAGAGGCAAGCAGTGGAGGAGAGGGAGAGTGGGAGGGGAGGGAGAGTGGGAAAGGACGAGCGGAAAGACGGGGCAGGGAGCCGGTGGTCGTAACCTACGTGGACTGGGGGCGCCGCGATGCAGCGGCCGGCGTTCGGCGCCTAGCACCGTCGTCTCGTCGCAGGACGCGCCTCCGAAACGTCCTGCAAGCACACGAAAGAGAATGGCAGACGGACCGTTGGCTGGGGTCTTAGTGACAAACGAACTGCTTGTTAATGATCTGATATGGGCACATATGGAGCGATCGTTCTAGTCTAAAACTGCCACTTGCAGCAAGCCATCTGCGGCAGCCGTGCTTTTCGAGCAAGCCCTGTCTAGGGAAGGTGTAAAGTTACCATTCAGTGTTCTCCGTGCGGTAGATTAAAGCTGCGCTACGGTCCGTGCGAACCAGAAATGGAAAAACAGTACCTGCCTCCACGCCGCGAGAGTCTTGCTCAGAAAGCGACACCAGTGAGATAATAAAGTTGTGCAGCTTTCTTTTGGAGACTTTACGATAAATACACCGAGTTTGTGGAGACAATTATTTTTATTACAGTTTCGTTAATTACTAAGCATCACGAATTCTAGGTACAATCAATAGATTCTTAAAATACGTTTTGATCAACACTTTTCACGACCAGAAGAGAAATATAAAGGTAATCAAGTAAAGCTCATAATAAAAAGTATTACATACTTTTTTGGTTTTGCAATTTCCCTGTAATTTATTGGACATCATATAATTGAAACATTTTTAAATTATTATTTTATTTTATTCCTACATTATGTAATAAAAATTGAATTATTTGAATATACGAAAGATATTTCAACTTTAAGCTTACCTAAAGCTCATTATATTATATCATAAACTGATAGTTTATGTCAGAAAAGACATATAGTTCAATTTAGTAAGCCGTTATATTAATATTTAATTACACAAGAGTGGTCTTTGAAATACTATTTATTCTACATAGACTTTTATTACTATTGAATGAAAAAATGGTGGTATTAATTTAATATTTTCTGTCCACTCCATAAATTTATCTTTTTTCTTACTATAAATTTTTTAATATTCCCCAAATGTACTTCATATGCGACAGAATTGGCATGATGAGGCAGAACAACAAATCAAAGATAGTCTTTCTACAGCTGAGGGATAGCATAAAATCGATCTTCGATAACGTGCTAATGAATGTTTACGATTTTTCAAAGAACCTAGTGACGTAAGAGCAAAAGGAAACCGATTCGTGCTGCCAGGTGTTGTCATCAGTGAAATATTGAGAAAGAGCAAAATGGCCTTGTTCACTCCGCAGAATAAACTCATTCACTGACCAGAAATGCTAAGTATTACGCTTTATTTTCCTCAAAAACTCATTTAATGAAACACGCAGTACTATGCAATTTTGTTAAGATGATTCTCAATGTCAAGCGTTATGTGTTTATAATTTCCTCAACTTCTAAGTTTATTTTAAAATAAATGGCAAATATTCCTATTATAAATAAACAAAAAAAAAACATTCCGATAAAAACTTACTGTAAACTGCTGGGATTTAAACACATAATTTTAGTAAAAACAACTATTACGTAAAAGGCAGATGTTAACAAATAGAATGTATAATAAACGTTTTTTCATTATTCAAGGTCTTTTCTTTTCTTGATAGAGTTACGCATGTTTTGTGAAAATTTATATGGAATTAATGTCCATTCGTAACTCGTAGCAGGAAGATGACCGCTCGAGAGCCGAGAAGCGCGACCACACGCTGTCTCCGTGGGTTGTCGCAGCGGTGAAGGCGGATCTCCGCCGCCGCTGCCCACTGTTGTTTGCAGTCGCTGCGCAGTCCAGCCGCGCCCGTCGCCGACAGGCGTAGCCGCGCGGTACGAGGCGCGAGCCGGGCGGCGGTGGCGCGAGGAGGCGGCTCGGCCACGGGGGCCGGCGGCGAGGGGCGGCGCGGGCGCGGCTGGGCCACAGGCACGAAGCAGCGGGCGTGCTGGCGATAACCGTACTGCGCTGCGTAATGGCGGCGCTGCGCCCTGTCGCCTACGGTCGCGTCACCGCGTCCCCAGCCCCCGACCCCTGCGCCGCCCCCGCGCCGGGCGCGGCGGCGGCGGCCTGCGGGTTCCCATACCGCCTGACAGAGCCGCGCTCCAGCACGGCAGACAGCTTGGCGCCTCACCTGGCGAGCGTCTGCAGCGGCGCACACGGTCCGCGGCGGCCGCACAGCCGAAGGCTACGCGGGCCGCCGCGAGCAGCGACGTTGCACAGTGGGCCGACGCGGGTCCGGTATCTTGCGCGCGCAGGGTATCATGACGGTGAGCGAGCGCGTCGCGCTGTTCGCCTAACTCTGACTAGCGTGCCGGTACGGCGACAGCGGCCTAGGCACAGGGGTCGCCGCACGCGCGCCCCTGCCGCCGCCCTCGCCACTTGCGCGTGCATTGGCGTGCGCGCTAGCAGTGACGTGCGCGTGGCGCGGCCGCTCATGCGCGTGGGCGGTCGTGCGAATGTGGGCGGCGGCCGGCGGCGCCTGCTCCGCGCTCAAGCCTCAGCATGCTCGTGCACAGAGATCATGGCCGCTTGTCGCCCGGCCGCGGCGGTCGCGCCGGACGACGCGCGCGCAGGAAGGTCAGCGGGCGCGGCGGGCGGCGCTAGTCTGGGCCGGCCTGCGCGTGGCCACCGCCGCGCGCCGCTATCGAGCCGCGCACAAGCGCGCCACTAACGGACTCAGAGCCAGTCCTAGCGAGCTAGACTAGAAAGCAGCGTCGCCGAAGCCCAGCGTCCACCATCAGCGCGATGCAGCTTATAGCACTGCAACTCATATGCCCACGCCGTCACCATACGACACTGGGGCCTCTACTGCCACCGTGCGACTGTGTGACCGTCGTTCCTTAACTAACTGAAGGCGGGCCTAGCGTACACGGCAACAAGTGGATCAGCTAGGCGCTCTGCTCCTTATCGGGAGAATAGGCTTCTTGTATAGAAATGTTATATGTCTAGTCAATGCTCGTTATGTCTACGGATGGATCATAGATTGTAAAGATGATCTGTATACAAGACCAGTACAAAAAGATACCGATTTAAGATGGTATCGATTCGCTTTTGTTCAACTCTCGAAAATCCACTTCTCACCAGCCCT